TTTCCATTTTACATATACACTTCCATAAATTAAAAGGAATGAAGTTATTATAGTTAATATATGCAAATCGTTATCAAATCGTATATTTTCCTTTTCTTCCATTACATGTGTGCGATATATATAAATATATAAACTATGTTACATGCGTTATATGCGTCTCTAATTATTTTTCCCTAGCAAATTTCAATTGAACCTAAAGTCGCCACGTCAATTTAATTGATATGCTAATTGATTGACAACTAAGCAAGATTACTTTTTAATTAATACAAACTTGAGGTTACATCTTTTCAAATGTTTCTCAATTAATATATAGGGGATTTAATTTTTTTTTACTTTTGACTGAACTTATTTATTCTTTTTGGTTATAATTAAAACTGCATTGCATGGGTGGGTGATTAATTATTAAATGTTTTCTATATCATCTTACACAACCATATCATTATTCGTTTATCGGCCTTTTATGTTTGTTCCCTTCTTTTATGTCGGCAGGGTTCTTTTAACGTTATTCTAAAAAATCAATAAACAAACAACCCACGAGGCTGACCGTTGAAAACTCTGTTGACTATTTCCCTGTGAGAATACAACGTCGTTTAAAGACTTTCCAATTATGCTCCTGATTCGTTTGTCCATTTACGATCGTTTTTTTAATTCACTCGATGAGAATACGATACCAAATACGGCATCGTTTAAATCATTTTACATCTTTACCCCCTGAGTTTCATAACCTAGAACCTTCTCCATCTTCGCGACCACGGTCTGGTCAGAATCAGCTTTTCCCCTTCTCCATAGATCCGCTTGTGACCATCTTCCTCTCCAATCAAACTTACTGTATCGCCGACGGTTCCATCTCTTTCTCCAGCTTCTTCGTGTTAAATCGCCGGCACCGCCGTCGAATTTCATCACCGCGGCGCCGCGTTAACCGTCTTTAGATCGCGAAGGTCTTTAGCTATTTTGACTTCGAACCATGGAATCACCGGATATTCGTGGCGGCGACTGTTCCGATGCAGCGACGTTCGAGACGGCGGAGAAGATAATACTCCGGTGGGATTCAACAACCTCCGAAGAAGCGAAAGAGAATCTGATCTTCCAAAGCGATCGCGAGGAAGTAGATCGGTACTTGCAAGCCGTCGACGAAGTCCAGAGACTCGTCTCTTCCGTCTCAATCTCCGATAACCACCACCACGAAGTCAAAGCTAGGTCAACGATACAAATCGCCATGGCGAGGCTCGAAGACGAGCTTAGAAACATCCTCCTCTCGCAGACATCCACCTTCGAGCCTGACTCTCTCCTCCTCGATTCGTCAGCTTCCTGTTTCGCCTCCCGCGCTAATCTTGAAGATACGGAAACAGTTACTGATGACGGTGACGGTAACGGCGAGGGTGAAGGTGAGGGAGGAGAGGAACAACAGGAGGAAATGAATCTGGTTCTAACCGACGGTTCAGATTCAAATTCCGGTTCAGGTGCTGGTTCGAGTCGGTTATCGAGGAGTAGGAGAAGCAGTTGCAAATCAACAAGCAGTATACGCGAGATCGATCTCGTCTCATCGGAAGCTGTTTCCGATCTGAGATCGATCGTTCAGCGTATGATCGGCGCTGGATATTCCCGTGAATGTCTCCAGGTATACGGAAACGTACGCAAATCCGCCATGGAGACGATCTTCAAGCAGCTAGGGATCGTGAAGCTAGGGATCGGAGATGTTCAACGGCTTGATTGGGAGGTTGTTGAGGTAAAGATCAGGAGATGGATACGTGCTGCGAAAGTCTGCGTTAGGGTTGTGTTCGCAAGCGAGAAGCGTCTCTGTGAGCAGATATTCGACGGCCTTGGGGAGATGGAAGAGACTTGTTTTATGGAGATAGTGAAATCCTCTGCTTTGCAGCTTTTCACTTTCCCTGAAGCTATAAGCATTAGCAGAAGATCGCCCGAGAAGCTTTTCAAGATTCTTGATTTACACGATGCTTTGGCTGATTTGTTGCCGGATATGGAAGAGATTTTCAGCTCCGGTTTATCGGAGTCGATTCTTGTTCAAGCAACTGAGATTCAGTCAAGATTAGCTGAAGCAGCTAGAGGGACTCTCGTGGAGTTTGAGAACGCGATTTTTCGTGAACCTTCGGTGGTTCCTGTCCCTGGTGGGACTATACATCCTTTGACAAGGTATGTGATGAACTATCTGAACTTGATTGCAGATTATAAGCAGACTCTGGTCGAACTCATCATGTCGCAGCCCTGCGCGGGTTTGAAGTGTACTAATGATCCAGTTAAGCCAGATATGGATCTTAGTGAGCTTCAAGGAAGAACACCGTTAGCTTTGCATTGTATATGGACTATGGTGATGCTTCAGTTCAATCTAGAAGGGAAGTCTTTGCATTACAAAGACGAAGCTTTATCACATATATTCATCATGAACAATGTCCATTACATAGTTCAGAAGGTGAAAAGCTCACCGGAGCTGAGAGAGATTATAGGAGACCTTTATTTAAGAAGGCTTACGGGGATATTCAGACACGCAGCGACTAAGTATCAGAGAGCCACATGGGTCAGAGTGTTGAATAGTTTGAGAGATGAAGGGTTGCATGTGAGTGGAAGCTTCTCTTCCGGTGTATCGAAAAGTGCTTTGAGAGAGAGGTTTAAAGCTTTTAATACAATGTTTGAAGAGGTTCATAGGGTTCAGTCGACATGGTCGGTTCCAGATGCTCAGCTTAGAGAAGAGCTAAGGATATCTTTGTCGGAGCATTTGATCCCGGCTTATAGATCGTTTCTTGGAAGGTTCAGGGGACATATAGAGAGTGGGAGACATCCAGAGAACTACTTGAAGTACTCTGTTGAGAACCTTGAAACCGCAGTGTTGGATTTCTTTGAAGGATATACCACGGCTCCACATTTGAGACGGTCTCAGTGAAGTGAAGAGAAGGCGGTATCATATTCTTTTACTCTTCGACTCGCTTGTACTTGTAATCATATATTTGTTGAGTGTGTTGTTTGTTTTGTTACCAAAATTTCAATACTCCATTTGTTGATAAATGTTTGCGTTTTTGCATCTTTGTGACCCTTATGTGTGCTTACGTTTCTTTAGAAACACTTCTAAATACATTTTTATTTTTATTATGGACAAATCAACTATAGCTTAAGCCTTAGTGTGGCAATTTCCACACTATTGAGTCTATGACAACAATTAATTGGCGTCTTGGTTTTGCCTGAACATATGTGACCTGGAATATCAAGGAACTAATACGTACAGTATTATTTCTTATTTTTGATCATTTAATAAGAATGTTTCAGTAAAATAAATCTATTGCAAATACGTATGTCACTATCTCCTTAATATATAAGGCTCTAGAAAGATCAAAGACGCAATAATTTGTTATTATTATTTATTGAAATCAGTATATGTACTGATTAAGTGGATTCTTGCAATCCTCCTGCATGTGCGAACGCCAATGGATTATTGCTAAGATTATTCGTACAGACAGAACAAGATTAAGTGGGGACCATTTTTCTAATCTTGTCTTGGTCTTCACTCTTCAGTAATCAAAGATTTATGTCGTATCACCATAACGTATAATGCTTCGTAATATGGGGTACAAATATTCAAGATGATGGTTTTATAATATAGTTCTTGTTCGTATGCTATGATTATAAAAAGGAACTTCGGTTCAAGGGTCGCCATACAAACATCGAGCCAAAAATACAGCATTAGATCATTGTTTTAAAACCTTTATTCGAATTAATAATCGAGTATCATCATCTTCATCTTTATTATTAATTTTAGCTTAGTTATGTTTTACAAGTCCAACCCATACAAACATCCAGCCAGATACAACATGAACCGGTACGTAAACCTCTGGGAACTAACCGAAATTGATCCCTTGCGCTAGAGGTAACTCGTTCCCATAGTTGATCGTGCTGTCAAAAGACAAAACCGGTTAGAAAATCCAAAATCTTAAACCGGAAATTCTATTAAATTTAAAATATATAGAGAAATTTACCAAGTGGAACGACGCATGTACTGCTTCCAAGAGTCACTACCAGCTTCACGGCCACCACCAGTCGCTTTCTCACCTCCAAAAGCTCCTCCTATCTCAGCTCCATTGGTCGGTATGTTCACATTCACTATCCCACAATCACTTCCCATTGGTCTGTAAAGTTGTCAGAACCATCACAGTGAAACTCAGTTTCAGTCAAATAAACTTGAGGGTGGGCTCTTTAAAACTTGCACTTACCCGATCCAGTTAAAGATGTTCTCGGGGCTACGTGTGAAGATAGAGCTGCTTAGACCTTGAGGAACCGAGTTGTTTATCGCAACAGCTTCTTCAAATGTCTGACCAGAGAAAGAACATGGTTTATATACTTGTCTCAAAAAAAACATTTGATGGTTTAGAGGCTCTTTACCTTAAACTTTAAAGCATACAGAACCGGAGCAAACAGCTCTTCTTTAACAACAGCAGCATCTGATGATATCTCTATTATCGTAGGCTCCACAAAGTTTCCTTCACCTTCCACTGCTTTACCTCCCGTTAGTACTTTACCACCCTGGGATTTGATGACTTCGATTCCTTTCTCAAAGTTTTTCTTTGATTCGGGAGTATGTAATGGTCCTAACAACGTCCCTTTCTCAAGAGGATCACCGATCTTGACTTGTTTGTATGAAGTCAAGAGTTGCTCAAGTACTTTGTCATAGACACTCTCATGCAAAAGCTTCAAGAAGAAAAGAAAAAAAAAACAAAAAAAAAGCTTTAAGCAAAAGGAACAGTAGAAGAAGCATCACAATGGGATTAGATTTCTTTCTTACCAGCCTCCGGCAAGTTGTGCAACGTTGACCAGCGGTTCCAACGGCAGCAAACAGAACAGAACGTGCAGCTAACTGTATGTCAGCATCCTCCATGACTATGATTGCATTGTTACCACTCAGTTCAAGCAATGTTTTGCCAGATCTCGCACTCACTGTTTGTTGCACCGTTAAACCCACCTATGAATGAGAGTAAGAAGTAAGCTCACTGTGTTTGGTTGAGTAGTGGATTATTAGTAGAGAGGACGTCTACCTTGGAGCTTCCAGTAAAGGATACAAGAGGAATGCGTGTGTCCTTAGCTATTGCTTCACCAATTTCAGCACCACCACACATGGCCGTGAAAATGGCACCAGGTAAATGATTCTTCTCTAAAACTTCAGCCACTAGTTTGGTCATTGCGATAGTTATCAACGGTGTAGTTGGAGCACCTTTCCTGTGGAACCACACGTATAAAGGACACAAATTAGGGCCAAAAGGAATAAATGCCAGTGTAGTTTAGTTGTCATTGCCAAGATTAATTTATTTCACTAGTATGCACTCTCAGAAATATAACTTTTCAGGGAATGATCATTAATACAACATTAAGGAAACTTACTTAGAGAATCAACTAGATAGCAATTGTAGACTTTAGATATTGTTAAGACAGCTTCTTAAAGTAAGGGAGTGCTAGGTATCTTTAAAGCTCGGATTCGGGTCAAATTTAATTACTTACCAGACTACACAATTTCCACACACCAGTGCAATGCAAGCATTCCAACCTGCAATAATACCACAACAATGTCTTATGTAAGGCATCTGTTTTGTGAGGCGCGTTCATCAAGATTTGAAAGTGGACGCAAACAAGACTTACCAAGAACTGCACATGGGAAATTAAACGCTGTAATAACACCAACTATGCCAAGAGGATTCCACATCTGCGTTACAATAACCGGGCAGAGTGTTAATCATCATGTTGTACAAAGAGTATTCTACAAAAATTCTATGAAAGTAACTCAAAATTCACCTCCAACATCATATGATTTGGGCCTGCAAAAGAAGAGATGATGATGAGTTTAGATATACATCTTTCAGTAATATATCCAATATCTCAAGAGACTAAATGTGAATGTTAATTAGAAAGACAGAACTCACGTTCAGAAGGTATGACTGATCCATTGAGTTGTCTGCTCAAACCAACAGCAAAATCACACATGTCAATCACTTCCTGCAAAAGTCGCACACATCATGTTATCTAAGCTAAACGAAGAATCAGCCTCTTATTATCATGTCATGGGTTCCTTTTTTCACTAAGTTAAACAGAGGAGTAAAGATACCTGAACTTCTCCAATGCCTTCGGCGAGGATCTTTCCCATTTCAAGAGAAAGAAGACGGCCAAGAAAATCAAGTTTGGATCTTAATGCATCTCCAATTTGTCTCACAATATCACCTCTCTTGGGAGCAGGAACCTGATCAAAAAGGTAAAGATATATTCGTTAGCTATCAAGTGAAGGTTTGTCTTTTAAAAATACTCCAAAGCAATTCACTTAGTCACTTTTACCTGCATCCATACTTTAGCTGCTTCCTCACAAGCCTTCAGACCTTGCTCGTAATCTTCCAGAGACGCTTCCACAACTTGAGCAATCGGCTGCATAGATATTTAACCATTTCAACATGCAAATACAAAAAAAGAAAAGAGTGATACTTTCCCCTAATTTATAAAGCAAAACATCATCACCAAAACTTAGAACAACAATAGTAAAGTAATCAACTTTTTAGAAAGAAGCATTTGATTCTAACAGAACCTGATTGTTGGCAGGATTCAAAGTAGAGACAACAGGTCCGTTTCCTAGCCATTTGCCACCAACGTAGTTTCCAAGGTTGTGAGAGGTCAAACCAATCTCACTCAGAAAGCCATACTCTTTGCTCGCAGAACCCATTTTCTGCAAAAATTCACACCAAACAGAAACATCATCCCTCAACATCCACAAAGTGACCAAACTTAAAGCAAAATCAAAACAAGGAAGAGAGGAGGATCAAAATCACCTCACTAATTTATCGATGATATCGAAGAAGAATGGAGTAGTTCTTTTCCGATTACTATTGAATCAGATAGATAGTCTTATAAGCGGAGTGAGAGAGAGAGAGAGAGAGAGAGAGAGACGTGTACGACTTGTAAGAAAAGTTGAAACAGCGATTGGACCGAGAACGAAAGCTGAGCTGTTGTGTCAATCCCCCTTTTGGCTTGATTCACTCGGATCATATGTTATACTAATGAAGTTCTGTCACGTGTCCTACGCTTCTTTTTCCGAGTAGGAACCGGGTTAAACAGGTAAAGACACAAGAATCCAAGGGAGGAGTTAGATGTCTTGTCGCCATTGCCCGATCTCACTCATCATCATCCCGTCCGATTTTCCCTGGCTGTTTTTAACAGGCCTCATAAGGCCCATTAAGCCCCCTCTTTAGGCCTGTTTAGGCCCATTTAGGCCCAAGAAATAAGATAGCGCTTACGGTCTGGTCAAACAAACCGGAACAAAGATGCGAATGAGGCAAGTAAAGAATCCGACACAAGCCATTGTCGTCACCGATCTCTCCTTTCTACTTCCCGTGTAAAAATTCCAAAGAGAGAAAAAACCTCCATGATCACGTTGATCGAACCTCGGTGAGTACCTCAAAAACTCTGTCTCAATTCTCCTCAGATCAAAACCAGAATCCTAGGGTTTCATCAATTCTCAGATTCTGGTTCGTGTAGATAGCTCTTACCTTCTTTTATCGGTGATCTATGGCGTGTAATTAGAACACAAAGGTCCAAAATTTCGAGAATGAGAGCTCTGAATCATCTCTATACCTCAAGCAATCCCAGATTCCGAGGAATCTTCAACGCCTTCTGTGCTATAATTCTCTTCTTGCTCTTCTTTAATCAGAGCTATATACTAAAGAATCAATCTTTCGTTGCTGGGTCTACTCCACGTAGGCATATGAGTGAAACTTCTTCTGGTGACACTACTGCACTGTGCTCTGGTTTACATCAACACATAGGTTACACCGACCAATGCCAATTCTTGAAATCGAACCCTATCTGTTCTCCAGACAGCTTCTTTGATTACCTCTCCTTCTTTTACTGCACATGTGGAAATTTCAAGATCTTGGGTTATATTGTTTTAGGTGTTTGGCTCGTTGCTTTGTTTTATCTCCTTGGTAACACCGCTGCTGATTACTTTTGCTGCTCTCTTGAGAAGCTCTCTAAGCTTTTAAAGTTGCCTCCTACCGTTGCTGGTGTTACTCTGCTTCCGCTTGGTAACGGAGCTCCTGATGTGTTTGCGAGTATAGCTGCTTTCGTTGGTTCGGATAAAGGCGAGGTTGGGCTTAACAGTGTGTTAGGTGGTGCTGTGTTTGTGACTTGTGTTGTTGCTGGTGTTGTTTCTCTCTGTGTTGCGGATAAAGAGGTTAAGATTGATAAGAAGTGTTTCATTAGAGACTTGTGTTTCTTTCTGTTCACGTTGGTGGCTTTGATGGTGATTTTGATGGTTGGGAGAGTGAGTGTTGGTATCGCCGTCGCGTTTGTTTCGATCTATGTTGTGTATGCTTCTCTTGTGGCTGCGAATGAGATTTTGAGGAAACATTCAAAGAGGTTGAAGCTTGATTCTTTTACACCTTTGCTTCCTATTCAAGGAAGTGTGTTCTCGCCGAGTGGTGAAGAGGATGTAGCGCCTATGTACAGCCCTTTGCTGGAGCTTGACACTGAAGAAGGTCCACCTAAGTTGCATGATTCTCTACCGCAATGGATGTGGGCTACAAACGTAGCCATCTATTCCGCGAAAGCTAATAATGTGCGTGATGAAGAGAGACCTCCATGGGGATGGAGTGAAGATGGTGGAGAAGTTGATAACACTTTATGTTCTAAGATCACTTCCTTTTTAGAGACTCCATTGACTGTTCCTAGACGGTTAACAATCCCATTGATTGAGGAAGATAGCTGGTCTAAGACATATGCGGTAGCTAGCGTCTCGGTAGCTCCTCTCCTTCTTGCTTTTCTTTGGTGCAGCCAAAGTGAAGTGAGTCTTCTTGTAGCCTACTTTATCGCTATTGCGATAGGATCTACTCTTGGCTTTCTTGCGTATAGAAACACAGAACATGACCGTCCACCTCAGAGATACTTGATCCCTTGGGTGCTAGGTGGATTCATCATGAGTATTGTATGGTTCTACATGATTGCAAACGAGCTCGTTGCACTTTTAGTAACATTCGGTGGGATTTATGGAATCAACCCGTCGATACTCGGTTTAACAGTGCTTGCTTGGGGTAACTCAATGGGTGACTTGGTCTCAAACATAGCGTTGTCGATGAACGGTGGAGATGGGGTGCAGATTGCTTTATCAGGTTGCTACGCAGGTCCTATGTTTAACACGCTTGTTGGGTTAGGTATGTCGATGCTTCTTGGTGCTTGGTCCAAGAGTCCAGAGACTTACTTGATCCCTGAGGATAATAGCTTGTTCTACACGCTAGGGTTTCTCATATTAGGGTTGCTGTGGGCTCTTGTAATGCTCCCACGGAACGAGATGCGACCGAACAAGGTGATGGGGGTTGGTCTGATCACACTGTATCTGATATTCGTCACTTTCAGACTCAGCTCTGCCATGGGGTTCATACCTTGGGCTGCTTAACGAGCTTGCTTCGAGATTTGTAAGGTGTGATTGAAATTATAATCAGAGCTTATTGTATACAGATCATTTAGTTAGAGAAAGCCACACTGGTTCTAAAGAAAATCTTGTTTGTTGTATTATGTCGATGTTATTACTGATAATAAACCTGAGCCATTGGTCGTTGTCTCGATAGTGGGAGGTATATGGGCTGTATCTTATTGGGCCGACTATGAAATCAATAATGTTGACCCACTTGTTTTGTTTTCTTTCACTTTGTACTACTTCACGTGGTGGTGCGATACCGCGATATGCATAATCTTGAAAACATACTTTTTATAGTCTATGACGTGTTCAAGAAAAGTACCATAGCATTCACATAACTTCTTGTTATTTTTTTCAATGGTAAGTTTTAAGTCCATGGATCAGTACATTCCTTGAACTATATCCAAATCATGTAACTTCATTATATTTTTGGAGAGTAAATGTCTCTCAACGCAATTTAAATATGTGACTTCCAAAATCTTTACTGGATTATTTAGGAGTTTCAACTACTAAACCAACTCATAGTCACTAACTAGATTTGTCATTTGATAACTAAATGGATCACAAAATCAAGATATATATAGGCTAATCGTTAAGATATATCTCAGACACTCTTACCAATTTGTTTAGGCTGGACGAATTGCGATATATACTCTCAACACACAGAAAATAACAAGAAGTTGATGACAAAAATAAAAGGACAAGAAGTCAAATATATCATTTCTTGGTGACTGTCTACATATTATAGTCTCATATAGATAAAGGAAAATTCCATAAAAATACACTAACTAAATTTCGTTAAGCATTTTAATACTTAAACTTTTTTACTATCCAGTTTAATACCCCAGCTAATTATTTTGCTCATTTTAAAATATAAACTTTTATAACTGTATCCATTTAAATACCCGAACTATGTTTATTTTGATAAAAAATATTAATAAGTTTCAAATGAAAATTTTAAAATCTCTAATCTTTACAGAAAATTCTAATTGTATTTTATGTTTGAGAGATAAAAGTAAATAATTTTTTAAATCTTAAATTTTGTAATAAATTTTTAAGTTTTAAATGTTGAATTTAGTTTGTTTTCTAAAATAAAAATAAATTAGTTCGCTTTCCTTCAAAATTAATTTTTTAAATCTTCTCTAGAGTTTATTTACCTTCTTGCTTAATTTTTTCAGTAAAAAAATTAAAAAAATTTCTTAGATTTCAGAGATTTCTTTAAATTTCGTTTGAAACTTAGTAGTATTGCTAATTAAAATAAATAAAATTTGGGTATTAAAATGAGTACAATTATAAGAATTTATGTAAAAAAATGGATAAAATAATTAGTTGGGCTATTAAATTGGGTAGTATAAAAGTTTGGGTATTAAAAAGTTTAACGAAATTTAGTTGGGGTATTTTTATGAAGTTTTTCCTATAGATTATACTCCCTCCGTTTCTTTTTATAAGATGTTTTAGAAGGTTTATGTTGTTTCAAAATATAAGACGTTTTGAGATTTTAAGGTATGTTTTGAAGTTTTAAGGTTAACTTTAACTTTATTAGAAACTGTTCAACCAATAAAAAAATTCTATCTTTTTTATAATTAGTTGAATGATTTTAAATGTGTATCATTAAAAGTACTTTTAAAAAGAATGGTAAATATCTTAATCTCCGTGCATTCAACCAAAACATCTTATAAAAAGAAACGGAGATAGAGACATACATTTATTGCATTAACTTTGTTGCCAAAGTACATATTGATTAATTATCATGTAATATATCATCATATTCTCTCGCACTTAATTGAATAGCTAAGAAAAATGGGTCCATATAGCTTTGTAAGTATGTGCCATCATGGAGACCAAGGCGTGAGGTTAGTTACATATCGTAAAAACTTTCAAAAAAACTTATCCAACATTTTCTCCCTCTCTGCTCATGGCTTATGTCACTGGACCCTCTTACAAGAACTATAATATCAAAGAATTTTGATGCCATATATATAACCATCTCAACATTTTATTTGTAGATACTATACAATAATTATATAGTATGGTCTGAATATGCTCAACTCAGGACAAGACATCCAAGAACATGTTATATCTTATTGATCTGTACTCGCAAAATGACAACTCTGACACTCATATGGGTTGTGTTTAATTATTTTCTGGTTTACATATATGCCTTTTGTTGTTTTAACTGATCAGTTGGATGTCTGATTAATATGTGTGCATAATATTATTATTACGTGAAAGCATCAGATCTAAACACATTAGTACAAGAATTAATTTTTCTCAGAGATATTTTTGGATGGTTACTCAACATCTGGGATACTCTTCTTCTTTATTGTGTTGGGGTTTGTGACATACTAAGGTTGGAACCCATGGATGAAGATGCTCTAAGAGCAAGATTATTGGGGGTCAAAATACAAGATGATACTATGCAAGTTATGTGGACCGAAATACAAGATGCATATATTTAACTCGACCACTCTACAGTCAATCATTGAACTTTTCTTTTATCATAACATACAAAAATATTAAGAAACCATGTATATCTCAAAATTGTTTAAAATAAGAAATATTGTTTGATTGATTCGTAAAGAGACGACATAAAAACAACTTCATGCTCTCTACATGAGCTTTCCAAACTAAACTTCCTCCTTCCTTTACATTATTATTGGGAACAGAGAAACATAAATGTCCTGGCCCTTTCAAATGTAGTTTGATCATATACCTCTAACTCTAACTCTCTTTACCAAAAAAAATACACTCTTAACTATTTCCCTATTTTACCAAGCAATGCACTAGTAATCAAGTGGAAAGATAATGGACTTGGCAATGCGTAAATTCGTTGGTACTCGGTTTAAATCCTGCGAAAAATGAAGTTGTTATTGTTCGGCCAAACAAACATGAAATCATGTCCTAGTACTATTTCTTTTGAATTTTAGTTGGGATTCGCTCAAAATACTTCCAAAATATTTTTTTTTTCTTAAGACATCTTTCACTGTATTCCTTCTTTGTTTTTCCCTATTTTTACACATGCCATTGTACCAGTTAATCCATCATGTATATCATGCCATATATAACTGTTTTCCTTTTTGCTTTGTTTTCCATCATGTATATCATGCATATATAGCTGTTTGGACACGGTGTTGAAAGGCACGTTCCCCCATGTCAAACAGATGAACTTCCAAATGGAGTCCCTTCCGAGCACGTATCATCCACATGGTTGATACTTGATACATACAAAGTTGGCCCCAACAATAGCTTTATGAATTACGTATGTACTAACATTTCGGTGAATGTCTATAATCTATATTCATACTTTTCAATTAAGTTTTACAGCTAATATTAATAAGAACCGAGGTTTCAAGTCAGGCTAAACCGATGAATGCATACGTAAACATAAAGTTGATTATATTGTTTGAGTAACGATGAATCGATGAAGGTATATATTTTTCAGAACAGTAGATAAAGAAGAATCAATCTTAAGAAAAAAATATCACATGTCCAAGCAATCCAATCTTACGAATATAACATAATAACAATAACACAAGTTAATGCAAAGTATGGCCCAAACAGCTTCTGAGCTTTACTGCCTTTATTCAAGACACACACACACACACACATATATATATATATATGAACTGATTAATTTAGAATCTGAAACAAACAGTTTGATGTGTGGTCCAGTTGATATTAGTGTCGTGGTATATAGACCATACGCCTTATACCAAAACTGCATATACAAACAAAAAGCATTGTAATTGGTATTGTATCATTCAGACCATGAAAATGTTATTTTACATAAAATGTCACATGTCACATGAAAGGTCACTGACTAAAAACTAAAACATATGTACACAGACAATATCTATATGTGTATATATATAAGTTTCTCAATGTGTCTCTCCAAACATTACTAATATCTCTCTTCTTCTTCTCTCACGATTAATTGTTAACCATATGGATCCACCTGTCGCCTCATCCTCCGTATTCAGGTGGTCTCGGAGTCGCCGGAAGATTCATATTCGCCGTCGTAAGACACAGGTGGTGCGTCTTGGTGGGAAGAACAGTGTGGTGTCACGTGGTGGATTCTCGTTGAAGAAGATGGTGAGGAGGATGAAGCTGAGATGGTTGAGACTTCATTACGTGAGACTTGTGAAGAAGATCAAAGGGTTTTATTGTAATTTGGTGAAAGAGTTCGTAGACGCAGGAGTTGAGCTTGAAGCGATTCAGACGCAAATGGCGGTTGAAGCGGCAGCGTTTGCGGTTCCCGGTCTAGGTCTCTCTTTCTCCTCTCTATCAGCCCATGACCGAGCACGGTATTTTCTTGCATAGTCATATAAAATCGTATTCATTAAATAATTATAATCTTCGTAACATTTATTACGTTTGTTGTTGTATCTTAATAAATATTTTATTTTGTTGTGAATTTCGTTATCTTTTGGAATCATGAGTATGAGAAGTGAAGTTGGTAATAGATAAATATAAATATACATTAGTTGTTGATTTGTATAAACAAAAAAAATACTATATATAAGTTCTCCCCTTAATTTATCGTTCTCTATCTACTAAAACGTATTTGCTGTTCAGTGTGGTACAAATGAATTCGGTTTGTTACAAATTTGACACAAAGGTATCATAAAGATTACATACCGACATCCGATCCATAAACAAAATCTTTAGATTAATGAAACTATGAGATGTGATAACACATAGATGTATAATATACACACAAATGCAGGCATAGTCAGGGTCAGATTTGGACACAGTCTAGTAAAACAATGGTCTTGACTCCTAATTTTTTTTGGAAATTAATTACGTATACATAAGCTCTAAAATTATCAAAAATATAATTAAATTTTATAGTAAATATTTATAATTCTGAAAATTTCAGATCCGCCATAGGCATAGTAGTATTACTATCAAAAGATCGACAATGGCTTGAATTGTCTCTACACTATTTTTACTTTGCATACCGGGCGATAGAACCCCATTCAACTCGAAGTTGAAAAGGGACCAAAGATGTATCTCAATATCTCAACTAATAATATTCCTTATTATATTTTGAGAAATGATTTTTAAATTTTTATTATGAATTTTTACTATATTCATTTTTTTAAGAAAAATGATATGAGTTATTGAAAACGTGATATGACTTAACATTTTATTATAACGCATGTAAGATTTTGATAAGTTCAGTAAGAAAACCACCACATGTACAGTTTTGACTATAATTTTGTAAAGTTTATGAAACAAGTTAATTATTTAATTATTAGTCGAAAATGTTTTCATTAAATTTATTATGTGTTATAAATAATATTTCTTTAAAAGTATGACAAAAATATGACTTTATCTTATTATGAAAGCATAATTTTAATAATAAAGTTTTTATTTTTGAAAATTTCATAAATAAAATAATAACTAAATTTATTTGACATAAATCAGTATCATAAACGTAAATCAACACAATCTTATACTAGTTAAAATTTTAAAATAATATAATTGCAAATTTTAGAAGTTAGCAACTTCAAAAATTGTATATTTCTGTCAAAATTCATAGTAAGTGTATTAAAATACAAAATTTAAACAGTCTTGGTAAAAATAATGTTTTAGATATTTAAATGTATCAAATCTACTGACCATTTTAAACAGGTGTAATTAAATTTATTTGGATTTAAACACAATACAATATATTGGTTGTATTATTGACAAATGATTTATTGGGATAAATAAAATAATTAACCAAAACTTGATAGAACAAATCTAGTCAAACTTATAATTTAAATATATGAATATTTAATATGAATATAATATAAACACAAAATTTCTTTTAGCATATTATTTTACCAAGCCTTAATTAGACCAAAAATAAAATTAATAAATAGTTAATCCAAAATGGAAAAAATAATAATTATATATGATTTTAGTTTTATTTTTTATGGGTAGATATCTGTTCATTTCTAATAAAATTATTTTAAACATATATAAAATACCTGTTTATATTTATCTTAAAACATGTGTTTGTCAACTAATATTTCATAAATAAATATATATATATCCTCATATTTGTTGCATATAAAAGTTAGGTTAAATTATAACGAAAGCCGCCAATTCGTGTAACCTCTGAAACGTGATTCTAGCTAGGGCTTGAAACAACAACCATGAAAAATCTAGAGCAGCAGTTCTCAGAGAACCTATTGATAAAAGAATCTTCAAATTCGGTAAGACAATGCTCAGATCCAATCCCAGTTGATCTCCTTGTCGATATATTCTCTAGAGTCCCGGCAGAATCTATAGCTAGGTTTCTTTGCGTATCTAAACAATGGAGATCTATACTTCGGTGCCGTAGTGACTTCACGGACTTGTTCATGGCTAGGTCTACAACTCGTCCACGGCTCTTGTTCACCTTCAAAGTAGAGGACAAGTTATTCATCTTCTCTTCAATTCAACCTCAAAACCTAGACGGTGACAACTGTTCTCTTGTAGCTACACGTTATAAAGATTTTCCCAAACATTTTCCAACAGAAACCCGTGACGACTTTTCCAGTGGATTGGTATGTCTTCATGGACCGAAAAAAATAAGAGGACAAAGGGTTCCAATAGTTTGTAACCCCGTCACGGGAGAGTTCATAGACTTGGCCAAAGTGAAAGCTGAGGGTAATGAAAAGAGCTATATTGGCTATGATCCCATCAACAAACAGTTTAAAGTGTTGTTTCTAACCAGTTATGGAAGACACAACCATGTTGTGACATTTGGGACTAGAAAACAGAGATCCACGATTGAATGCGAACCCCATATTGGTCAATATGGTGAAGTATGCATCAATGGTGTTTTGTATTACGGAGCTTACTTCAGAGAATCAGAATATGATCAAAAAATATATATGATAGTTTGCTTTGACTTTAGGTTTGAAAAGTTCAGTTTTATTGAGAGAGATGGTGGAATGTATGATGTCTCTTTATTCAACTACAAAGGTAAATTAGGTGCGTATAAGCTTGACGACTACAGGACTAATAACGAATCGCTTGTGTTGTGGGTTCTAGAAGATGCTGAAAAACATAAATGGTCCAAAAGTATACATGTGTTGTCTCATTTTTACAATGAGAAGATCGGGCACAACTGTTACATTGTTGGAATCACTAGTGCATGTGATATTGTGTTTAAGCCGGTAGGTGACGTAGACCCTAATATCTACCTTTTCTTTTACAATATGGAGAGAGACACTTGTACAAGAGTCGATATTCATGGATTTGAAGAGTTTAGGCATCATAATTTTCAACTTACCACCTATTTGGACTATGTAGAGAATATGACGCCTTTGTAAGTGTGTTCAAGGCATCATACCTTACACTTTTCATTTATGTTGGTTTCAACTCTTGTGATATTAATTATTGTATGGATATCAACTTTATATTATATCTAGTTTTTGCTCTAAGTTCTAATCACATGATCATGGCCTTTAGATTTGCTTTATCTTTTGCAGATTTAAGTTTTTTCCCTTAAAGCTTTGTCTTGTTTAGTCTTTTAGTTGATTAACTAGCGTTTAACTGTTTATAATAGAGCGCTATTCGTGTTGTTATCTGGTTGTTGGTGAGTCTGCCTACGCATGTTGTGTTGTTTCTCTTTTTGTAGACGTGGTTATTGACGTTGGCGTCCTTTTGTCATATTTCTTGTTAAGCTTCATAAACATATATAGATGAAGATGATACACCTTTGTAACCTTTTTTATTTTAATTTTATCAATACCGGGTTAGACATTGTTGGAATGACTGGTAGAGGTGAATTTGTGTTGTCACCGTGCTTTGTGAAAGAGGCATTCTACGTTATTTTACTACAATATTGAGAGAAACATTATCACAAGATTCGTCCCTTAGTAAGCCGGTTTTCGTCTAGATATATAAGCCTTTCCTCGTTTGAAACTTTGCCCATAACTTTAAAACTATGCCTTCCTAAGTTGCTGGTTAATATAATGGGTTTGTGTTAATCGTCCCTATGAGTTAGGATTAGTCAGTTTGTACTTTTTGATGGGAGAAGGAATATAATTCAGCCCTAGGGTATCACTTTGCGTGGTGGAAGTCATCTACTCATCTTAAATTTTATTTTGTATAGGAAGCAAATTGTATTAAGAACCAAAATAATTGTACGATGTGAGGCTTATGTAAATGTTGAAGGCTCCACAACTTGAGGCTTTATACTTTGGATCCTTTAACTCTTATAACATAGCTCCCCTCGGGGTTTTACTTATAATTAGTTCAGAGATGCAGAGAATTATTATATCAACTGGCTTTCAGATTTGCTTTTGATTTTTTTTCTGCTGATCCAATCTGCTTTGGTCAGTTTCAGTAAATAGTAAAGTCCTAGTCTTATTTCAGTTGATAGATAATTCACTAGTACATAGATCAAGAGTTTTCATATTTCAGACAAAGAAAGATAATCTGGTCATTCACAAATGATTCTTTAACATTCTCTACATCATGATACACAATAACATTGTCGTTTAGTTTGCTCTCTCTACTTATTTGGGTCGTCTAGATAGGGGGAAAGAGACCCTTTGAGGAGTTTGGCCAGGAAGCTCAGATGTTTGTTGTTCCTGGGATGATGATTGTGCAGTAGGATCTGTCATTTCTTCATCGTCCTCTGTTTCATCAGGTTCTGTTGAAGCTGACTTTTTGGGAATGACGAGCTGGTAGTTTGGGCTAAGCAATGTGTCCTGTTCAGGCGGGAGAGGAATGCCTGGTCCTGCTATCGATTTCGGCAAAGGAATCTTGTTCTTGCTCGCAGCAAGCTCTAGCAGTACCTAAAGAACCAAACATCAAAATCAGAAACATTCTAAAACTTCTAATATCATTGAGATATATAAACAAAACGACTTGGATTTATATTGACACGATGCGTACAGAATTGATCATGTTCTTGGTAATGCAACTTCTATTCTGACACGTAGGCTTGAGATTTTGACCACTAAACCTGACTAAATAACCCAAATTTTTGGTTTTCGGTTCAAATTCGGTTCAGTTCAGCATACTAAAAAGATTTGGCTATCGGTTTTCCAACTTTTAAACCAAACCAACCCAAAATTTGGCTATCGGTTTTCCAACTTTTAAACCAAACGAACCCAGCTGTCTGATCAATCTCAGAGATCTTATCGGCCGGCAAACCAAAAAATATCTAATGACCAAATCATATCAGTCTTAACCAAAATTCTGAATGAAACTAACCAAACTAACTGTAATAACCGGAATTCTTAACCAAATTGAACCAAAATCTAACTTAAAATGAAAACTTTCGACCGAGTTTTCATAAAACCCAAATAATTGATGGATGAACCGATTGCCGAACCGAATTGAATTTTCTTCCGGTCTAATTCGGCAACATTAGGTTGGAACCAAAATAATCACATTCTTCAAACCGAACTAAACTAACCGTTCAAACCGAAGCTGCAGACCTAGTAACCAGGTCAATGTTCTCAAATCAAAATCAAGATGGACAATCACATTCCTAAATAGAAATTGTAAAATAATTCACACTGCCATTACCAAACCCTAGCCAAATCTATTTTCAGACAAGCGAGAAACAGAACAACACCAACAAGGAATCATCAACAAAGTAATGTATAGTTAGTTTTACCTCTCTTGGAGGAGGCTGTGAGAAGCTGAAACTAACTTTGGACTGAATAGCTAGCTTCACATCGTCACAATCAATGGTGGATTTGCTAGCATGCTCTGAGTAAACCTGAGCATCTGTCAATACTTCCACCACATAACGGTACCATATCTCGAGAAACTGGTGCACCACACGTGGCTCGTAGTCCTCCACGCCCATCGACTTAAGCAGAGACTTCACAATCTTGGCGTCTCTTGGCACATCTTCTTCACCTTCCCCCGCCATTGTTTTTTTCTCACTAACACAGAGAAGATTCTATGCCCTAGATCGAATGAAAGATGAGTAACTCATAGGGAGGGTAGTAGATACCTAACACAGAGCCAAAGTCGGCGAGTCAATTGCTCTCTCTAGAAGTAGATCGATTTTTTTTGGTATAGTTTGTAAATATCTGTAACTTTGAGGGTGAAACTGGAACTTAGTAGAACGCGTCGCTGCTTATCACTTGCTTGAACATGAGTTTCTGTTAGGTTAGGGTTGGTGAAATTTTAATTTTGTTTTACTTTTTACCTTAAAATCCTCAATTTATTTTAAGTTGTGCATAACAACAAAAATAAACTCAAAATAACTGGAAGTAACATTTAAATCTCATAAAACTAAAATGCCAATAAATGATAAAGTTTACAATACAAATTCACTATATCTAAATCATAAATAAAAATGTAGAAAACAAAACACATAAGTCATAGTTTTAAAGTTTTCAAATAGAGGTTACAATACAAATTCACTATAGCCAAATCATAAATAAAAATGTAAAAAACAAAACACATCAGTCGTAGTTTTGAAGTTTTGGAATATAGGTTAGAATGATTTTTATTAGATTTAATTATATTATATTAGTTTATTAAAAAAATTCAGGAAATAAAAACAATTAAACACATATTATAAAATTTTAGACCCGTTTTGATATATTTATTTTTTTCGGGGCAAGGGGGGGAATTTCAGTTTGAATATTTGGATCTCGATAAACTGAAGACTAAACTGATATATATATATATATATTTTTTTTTTTTTTCTTTTTTGAAAAATCAGTATATTACATGTCACTCTCACGTTAATTTTAGAATATTATTAGTGGAGAGTATCTTCCCAAAACACTTTTAACCCCCCCCCCAATTGTTAAATTAATTATTAAGAGTAACATTATTTTGTTATTTTATTTTATTTTTGAAATAAAATTGAACTAATGATAAATGCTCCGAATGGAGAAAGCGGATCAAGCGTTGCGGATCTAGCGTATCAAGTGGATTGAGCGGAATAAAAGTGGATCTAGTAGATCTAGCGGTACAAGTGTGTATCAAACAGATTTAGCGGTCTAAAACATATGTTTGAATGGTGAAAGTGGATAAAAAGTGGTCCAAAACACTATACAAATTTAAAATAATGTATAAAAAACTTTATATTACTATTTATTTTCTAATTAAAAGTAGTTGTTTTAAAAAAATACTTATAAATGCATTAAAGTTAAGTTTAAAATGAAAAAAGTAAAAATTTTAAAATATAATAAAAATTAATTTAAACATATACATAATTATTTTGAGATTATATATATATATATATATAGATAGATGATTTTATAAGAATATAGTTTGATAAATTATGTAAAAAATCAAAAATTTAAATATGCTTTAATATTTTAAAAATCTAAAATAAATGGATTGACCAACTGAAGTAATAGCTGGTTTTTAAATCCGTTAAACCGAAATAATTTCATATGTGATATTAATATATTTTAATAATATACTAGATTTTGACCCGCTCAACCGAGCGGGTTTTAATTTCATTTATATATATATTTGTTTACATTATTATGGGTATATATATTTATTATATTAATCACATATTTAAATATTTAATAATTTTTATTTTGTTTTGTCAACCAAATGGTTATTTGTTTATGTATATTAATTTTAGATGATATATTGTTGTATACATGTAATACATAGTATGTTACCCCTTTTTGACAACATAATATATTATTTTAACATAAATATTTCTATTTATGAAAATAAATATATTAATATATCATTTTAATTTAGTTTGATGATATATTTCTATTTGATGATAATTAAAATTTGAAATAACTAATTTTCGAAATATATTTCTAAAAGATTTTAAAAGATTGCAAAAAGATTTTGTTAGAATCTGTTTCCAAATATTTATTTACATTTCCAATAAAAATAAGATATAAAAAGATATCATAATTAACATATGTAAAATTCATAAATATGGTACAAACTAAAAAATCACACATAAAGTGAAATGGTGACTTCTGTTTTAATATATAAGATATATATATATATTTAAAATATATTTCTTTTAATAAGATATTTTTAGAGTGATGTATCTACAATAATTTTTTAAAATATATTTTTAGTTGATTAATGATTTTTACTAATTATTGATTTTTTATTTTATTTTTAGTCTATTATCTAATATATTTATAGTATATATTAAGTATAGTAGAGTTTAAAACATTTTGAAATATTAATAAGAATAAGGAATAACTGTATAAAGAAACAAATTAGTGAATATTTGTTTGATATATTATTAAGTTTAAAAAAAAAGCGACGTGGACTGCTATTGAAATACTCCATTAAAAAGCATTTCATATTCCACTAAAATAATATAATGGTTTTCAGCTTTATTATTAACTAATATATCAATTTAATAATATTTAAATAAATTTAGAATTGTGAATATGTAAGTAAAATTATAATAGATAATAAAAATGTGAGTTGACAAAAAAAAAGATAATAAAAGTGTGAGAAACACCGAAAACACCTTGAACTTGTTGTGTATCTACTGTAACTGACGGTCCATACAATTTGGTCACATATTTAGACTGCTTGCGGTCAGATAGTATCTATAATAATAAAGTTGGGTTATCTGTCCTCTTAGACTATCCACCTCATTTTTTATATAGGGGTTTTTCTACCACGTGTCAATTCACTAAACCATTCCAAATTGATTTTGGTTTACCTCATGATTCTATCGTACATGACTATTTAAAATTTTTTGAGCTATTATTATAACTTATGATGGGCCTTTGAAAATTCTATGAGAAGTCCATCATATTTTAAGGTTTCTTCCAATGTTTTGAAACCCGACCCAAATACTGAACCGGACGACTTACCGGTCACCTGGTCACCGCGTCAACCGCGGATGAACCGTGAGTTAACTAATTAATTAATTCTATTATATAATAATATATATTGTTTTCATTTGACATATAAAACATTAAAATAGTTTAGGCTAGAATTCTTTTTGTAACTTGAAAAAACTTATGACCTCTAACAAATAATATCAAGAATAATAAACTTAAACATCCTAGAACTTAGAACTTATAACAGGTAAAAAGGTAGATTAATGATAAAGCAAAATCATCAAAAACCAAAAACACAAAAAGGAATACAAAGTAGACAGAAGAAAGAAAAAAGAAAACGTCGAAAAATAAAACTGAAAACCTAACTCCTTAATATAAATACAAAACAAATTTTTAAAATATAATTATAAATTTATAAGGTTTAAAAAAAAGTGAAAATCATTTACTGGTTCAACCGATGGTTCAACCGGTATCGGGTTTTGGGCTTTACTGGGTTTTTATGGGTTTTTGTGGATTTTTAAATTTTGGCAGTGTTTTGAAACCTGACCCGTACCCGCAGTTGAACCGGTAAATTCGGTGACTCAAAAAAAATCCGGTTTGGGTTTCTATGAAAAACCCAAAATTTAAAAATCCGCAAAAACCCATAAAAACCTTGTAAAACCCGAAACCCGATACCGGTTGAACCACCGGTTGAACCAATAAATGACTTTTACTTTTTTTGATGGTTCTTCTTCTTCTAAACATCAGTCTTTAACCACAACAACGACCTTCGATGACAATGAACGCCAACCCCTGACAAACATTGCAGGACATGTACGTACCCACTGTCTATATGTGTACTTGGCTCACTCTATTTAGTTCTCCGTTTTTTGATATGTCTAGACTACAAGAAAAATGCTTTTTAATAGCAGACGAGAATAGCGTTTTTTATGATTGTGCTATGGTTGATATACCCGTGCTTTTAAAATAGCGTTTGTATTTTGAAAAACGCTATAATAGAATGGTATATTTAGAAACACTATGAAAACTTAGGATTTAATAGCAAAACATAATTGAACGTTATGTTTGCCTTTTGAATCCCTAAACCCTAAATAAGTTTTTAAACATTAAACTCTAAATATGAAACTTAACTCTAATGTTTTTACATCAAAAATTAAATTTAATTCAAAATCTTAAATATAAAAATTTACTTGAGATACAAAATTTAATCTCAAATCATAAATCCTAACTTCCAAATACTCCAAACCCTATATCACAAACATTAAAAGACCGAAACATTAACCTTAATTTTTTTTAAAAAAAATTGAATCTCTTACAATTTTTAATCTAAATCCTAAAATTACATCTTATCTAAAGCTTTCATTTTGAAAATTTAATATTCTCAAGTTTTAAACCTTTAAATTAAGTTTCTTTTACATTTAAACTCTATCTATATATTCTAAACATAATAATTATTTTTTTGGACTTGTACTAATGGTTATGTTCTATACCTTTGAAACTCTAATTTAAAACTTGAAGTATAACTCTGTACCTTAATTCTCAAACTTCAAACCTTAATCATAATCCAAACTCTTATAAATTGAATCATAACTTATAAAAATTATAAAATTTCCCTTTTTTTGAAACGTTAACCACAAACTATAACAAATTAATTATACATAAATATTTTTTGGTCAAAATATATATAAATAATTAACTTAATTATTATATTAAATGAAAAACATTTTTCAAATGGATTAATTTTGATCCTCGATTGATTTTTAATCTAAAGGTCACAAATCAACATTTTATTTATCTTTGTCCCTCTTTTTCATTGGTCATTCTCACGAGCACAAGGATAACAATTTTAACCATTGATTATTTTTGATGCTATGGCTAGCAATCATACATCTCACATCCCTTTCTCTTCCTTCTTCTCACGATCTCTTTCTCTTTTGGTTTCAGATCTAACACTAATCTCAGCTCACATCTCTTTCTTTTCCTTCTTCTCACTGCCTCCATTCATTCGCCTCCTAGCATCACAACCACCACCACACGGCCTCCGTTTGTTCGCCGTCCCACCACCACANCTGCCTCCATTCATTCGCCTCCTAGCATCACAACCACCACCACACGGCCTCCGTTTGTTCGCCGTCCCACCACCACACAGCCTCCGTCTGTTCGCCATCCCACCACCACACAGCCTCTGTCTGTTCGCCATCCCACCACCACACGGATCTCTGTTTTCTTTTGTCACTGTCTCTCTATGTTTATGCTGGTATT